GAACCTGAATAAATATGTCAGAAAATCGCAGATTATCCAGGAGACAGTTGAGTGACCTGGAAAAAAAAATCCTATTTCGTATACAGTCACAAGACTTTGTGTGTACTCTGCAGCATTCTAAATAACGGATTTTTTCCTGCTCAAGTTAAAGTTGGGTTCCCCATGCCCTTCAACGCAAATTCCGTTTTTTTTCCTTTCTATTAGTAAACTTTCAAACTTGTCTGTTTTATTCCAACCGGAAAAAACTCCTTTATTTTTCAGGATAAAACTAAAAAAACAGCACGGGATCACAACTTTAACTCTGATGTTCATTCTGTCAAGTTGGAAACTAACTGAACATGCTCTATATTCTTACAAAAAACTCTTTTTTTTACAAATTTCTATGGTTTCTTAGTCATATATTTTTATTCAGAAGTTTATCAAATTTTAGATTATCTGCAAAAAGTATCAACCACTGAAAGATCTAGGCTACTGTATGATTGATAAGGAAGATAGTTTTATTGCAAAGATGTACTTGTGTAGCCATAACAATATTTTGTTTCTTTTTTTTTATTTTGACAATATACACATGTTGCTCAATGCATTGGGGTAAGCTTTTGTTTTGTATTTACAATTCTCTGGTAGCATTGATCAGTGTTGGAGCAAAGGCTTTGACCCTTAAGGCCAAGGCCAAGGCTAAGGCTTTGACCCTCAAGGCCAAGGCCAAGGCTTTGACCCTCAAGCCTCGAGGCCAAGGCCAAGGCTTAACCCTCAAGGCCAAGGCCAAGGCCAAGGCCCTGTTTTATGAAATGACCACTGATATAGAACTAATTATAGTCGCATGAGTGACACATCATCACGCAAGGGCGGATCCATAACACAATTTTCTTTTGGGGGGGGGGGGCAAAGAAATTTTGGTCCCCCCAAAAAGTGAGTCGAAAAATTGGGGCTTGGGCTTCGGGGCCCGCTTAAGGGCCCCGAAAAATTTTTGGATTCGAGATGCTCTGTGGTGCGATTTGAGGCAATTTCTGACCATTTTAACCGATGTTTTTTGAGGAAAAGATGGTGGTGTACTCATTGCCTGCCTTTATTACGACGTCACATAAAAAATGGTTTCGGGGTTTTTTTTGGGGGGGGGGGCATGGCCCCTTTTGGCCCCCTGGATCCGCCCTTATCATCACGAATTGCTCGTTACGAAGAACAACATTTCTTTAATTGCAATCAACATGCTCTCATAGGCCTTCACCGTTTTATGACTGCACTGTATCTATTAAAGTATAAGTTCAGGTCTTCAATATGGTTTAACTAAACAAAATAATGATTTACTTCTATATTGACGCACAATTCTCCCAAGTGTAACAAAGGGGGGATCCAAGAAACTGATTTAGGACATTTTTATTTGCTGGCCCAACATGGTCAGAAATATCAGCATTATCTAAAACAGATACATGCAAATCTTTGGCACTTAAGCCTATCAGGGAGACATATACCAATCAGATCTATTCCATAGTTATATGCAATTAAAGTGATCATCTCATTAGCCCCACAAGTGTACGGAATATTTTTGCAGCAAATCTATTACAATGGTAACAAAATGTGATGCTATAAAAGTGGAAGTGTGCCCAACACACAAATCTATAGGGTGCTTCCCTCCTCCATGGTAATACGATTAAAATGGTAACAGCATCATTTCGAACAGATTTATCTGGAAAATGCAAAAATGTATGGGCCTTGAAGAGCCTTGACTCAAAATTGCAAGGCCCTGAACCCTCAAGGCCAAGGCCAAGGCCAAGGCTTTTGCCCTCAAGCCTCGAGGCCAAGGCCAAGGCCCTAAAATCCAGCCTTAAGGCAGCCTTAAGGCCAAGGCCCAGCATCAAGGCACTACATCACTGGCATTGATCACGGGGTTGTCAAATAATGGCAGTTCACAGCAAAATATTTCCATTCTCCGTCTTTCTTAGAGAAATCTAAAGCAGCCCTAAATACATTCCTCTGTACATTCATTTAGGAAGGTTCATAGTCTGTGCCAAAAAAGTGTTTGGTTTGATTATTAGTTTCGAATGTGTTTTAACTTGCAAATCAAAGACGGGCAGACAAACTTAAAAACAATAAAAAAAGCTATTGCCAAACCAAAAGAAATTTAATTTATTCACCTTTTTTTGTAGTTTGGTCGCTTAACTTCAAGGAATCCTCCGTCAAAAAAATCCACCCTCAATACTTTGACTTTATAAAATACCAGCACAGAGTTGACAGAAGACCCCCTCTATAAATGAACGTAACGCGAGTTACCATGGAATGGCCCTTTATACGTTTGGATGATAAGCATCAATCATACAAACTACAGAACTTGGAACAAAACAAGTCCAAAAACAGTTTTTAATCAACGTACGTAAGCGACTGATACAAAAAACCTTGATTGACAACTGCATTGTTAAGAAGAATTTGTGGCACGCAGATGCCATGCCAAAAAAGTACTTATGGAAGCCATCCCAATATTTGACAAACCCATGCGTTTGATAAATTATTTCATCACGCTGAAAATGAAGACTTTGGAACAAGTGAGTTAATGAGTAACTCCTCCTGCTATAAACGTGTCAACAAATTACATGAAACACGCGAATAAAGCAGGTTCATATACGTACACATTTTTGTTATGTTCATACCGGTACAGTCCATGTGTGTACATGTACATGTGCAAAAAGATACGCGAAAAGCAAATGCTGCATACAATTTACATTGAACATATGGTCGTAGAAATACATATTAATTACCCTGCAATTTATCGTTACTTGAGTTAACAAAATAACAAGGGTTCCAAGCAATTTTTGAAAAGAAATTTCCCGATTTTTCCCTGAGAAATTTCCAAAATTCCACGAGAAATAATTTCACTTTAACGAGGTTGCTGGAAAGTCAAGAGGTGGTGTAGCACAGCCAATTGTTATTGTCTGGAGAGGTGTGTAATATTCACACTGCATAAACACTAAAAAGCCACCGTAACCAGTCAGTTAACATATGGCACAATGTATACACCAAACTCCAAAGACGTGTTCACTGACCTGTCATGTTACTCGCAACTTCCAGTCACGCCAGTGTTAGGTTTTTACCAATTCTACATTAGTTTTATGCTCACTGGCTAGCAAGAATCAATGTCTAACATCCCACTTATTGACAAAATTGCATCATGCTTCCGACATCCATTAACCAACTCTCACATCCGCTCGAATCGACATCACGCGCAAATGTCAGACCAAATTTAGCTATTCCTCCCACTTTCTTTAAATCGAGCGATTTCGATGACAAAGCAGCTGGTATGTGGGCAGAACACGTGCATGTTGAATTGATCAGAGATAACTGCACTCACTAGGTGTCCGAGTGCATGCATGTGCGGAGCACAACAGTAAATCATCATGTAAAGGAACCCCCCTCCTAACTTTTCCCTGATATTTCCCTGAGAAATTTCCAAAATTCCATGAGAAATATTTGTCCAGAGGTGGTTGCAGCAAAGCAACTAGAGCTAATGTGCTTCCCGAAGCACGGATATCAGCCTAAATTGCTGTTTTATCGGTTTGTCTGAACAACTTTTGTGAGGCTTGGTCTAAAGATACAACTGACCAAGTTTTACATCAATTGGGTCAAGACTGTGGGAGAAGAAGCATTTTGTAAATATTCATTAAATGACCTCTAGTGCCCCTTTAATGACCAGTGGCCGGATTTTACGAACATGGCTAGGTAGGGCATGTGACAAGGTTTAATTTGGCCAAGTTTGTTTGAAATCAGCTGAATAGTTTAGGAGTTATGGCCATTTTTATATTGGTCACGTGACCGTTTGCCCGAAGAAAGAAAGAAAGAAAGAAAGAAAGAAACCGGACGATCACAGTATACCAGCGTGCTTCGCACGGCTGATATAACTAAGATACTGATAACACACAGGCAACTTGTTGATAAGCGAGGGCCTCCCTTCACCCCTTATAGCCATCCTTTCTTCACCATATGCAACAGAGATGTGCATGCCGAACTGGCGAAAACCTTGCCCTTCTAGGTCACTGTCAAATTCTGTTGGTGTTTTTCCCAAATTCCCTGAGTTTTTCCTGACTGGAACAATGGACACTCATTTTCAAGGTTTTCCCTTATTTTCAAGGTTTTCCCCAAGGTTTTCCCTTTTCCAGTATGGCTGGAAACCCTGTGCCGACGTTCCCAAGACCGGATTTCAATCAGCTTGTTGATCGTACCCACCACAACCTCCGCAGCTCGACTGTGCTTAAATTTCTTAACCACATAGGCCCTTAGGAACCATCCTCAATCCTACAAAATCCTCTAATTGCCACCATGTAAAACTTGGATTCAGCCTCAATCCTCCGAAAACATCCGTTATTTCTTGAATTAGTTCAGTAGAGGGGTGACCATTGCCTCAATCCTTCAAAAGCTTCCAACAATCACTGTTGAGGGGTTGAGGCAGTGCCGATGACATTCAGAAGCAGTGTGGATGATATCGAACATAATACAGGGCTCAATTATGCATGGCTGAACATAAACAATGCTGGGTACAGCCTACGAACTCGACACAATGCATCCTCCAAAATCAACCAACTCTTTTTGGCCATTCAGCCTCAGTCCCAAATCCTCCAAAACCACCTGATGGATTTTGGAGGATGTTGGAGGATTTTGAAGGATTGAGGGTTAGGGTTAATTAAGGGAACCAATCCAAATCCAGTTTTGGACCAACACTGGCTCGGGTAGGCCAGTGGGGATGAGCGAGATAAAACTACCACGCATCAAAAATAATCCACCTGACAAAAAGTTTGCTTGCAATACCCGCAGCTACAATGAACTTGAACTGGCCAGCTCACCCTGGCAGGATCGGCAGTCGAGTGGTAAGACGTCTGCACCAGTAACCAAGAGGTCGTGGGTTCTAGTCCCACCCGAGCAAGCTTGTGAATTTTTATCTCGCAAGCCCTTGGACAACACTGAGAACACAGCATTTTTTTTACAAAAGTAAGCGAAGGACATTGTTTGTTTTTTACCTGATGACGTCGCTGTGTCCGTTCTTGGCAGCCACGTGGAGCGGGGTGTGCATGCTGACCCGGGTCCTGGACGGGAAGTCCAGCAGCGCGGTCGACTGGTTGCTGTTCATCAGCAGCTGGACCACCTTCAGTCGGCCAAACTCAGCCGCCAGGTCCAACGCCGTCTTGCCGCTCTTGTTCTTGAGGGTGGGGTTGGCTTTGAACTGGAGGAGGGTGTCCACCTGAGAGAAGAGAAAATAATATTTTTTTTAAAAATTGAGAAAAAAAGGGTTTGAGGGTCGTCGAGGTCCCCAGAGTAATGCAGGGTCTATATGTTTGAATTTGCCTAAAGGCAACTCTTAAAATACCAATTCTACATGTATATCAACTTTTTTAGGTAAAAACACCTGAACGTTTTACGTTTTTAGGTAAAAAAAAACCTCAAACTTAGAAACTGGATTAATTGGCAGGGTTGCGAACACTATGAAATTTGTGAAGTAATTATGCCATAACTAAACAATTTTTTTATTAAATGTACAAAAGTGAATAAGTTTTGTGTTGCTATGCAAAATCAAAAGTAATTTTTTTTTCCAGGGTGAAACTCAAAATTAGCATGGACAGTGCAACGTTAAGTTTGGTAGAAAAACAACCCAAAACATCTGATGGTTTTGTACATGCATGTAGGCTATAGACAGTAAATGAAAAATTTCTTTAAAATCAAAAAGTGTTTACATTATGATTTCAATTGTGCTTGTGTAATGGTATGAAACTGGGTTGCAACAACAAAGATATAAATTTCTTAAAATAGTACCTTGACGACTGTAAAATATTATTGTTGAATATCTCCAACATTCTCATGGTTTTTGGCCGGCAGCAATAAATAAAAATTTGTTTATAATAAAATGCACATACATTGTATTGTGCATCATGTCAAAAGAGCACGTAAACAGGTTGCTGTTTTGACAAAAATGAAATGCCTGCTTGAATTAAACAAAATATGACTTAACAATAACAAAAAAGGGTTCAGTTTGAGTTTAGTGTCTTGTTTTTGTTTATTTGTATTTTTCTCACTTGTACAATGCATTTTGATATGAACAATAATAATGTGGCTTTTATACATGTAGCGCTTTATACCAAGGGTCTCAAAACACTTCACAATTATTACCCCTGTTCATCAGGCCATGAGACCACTTTTTTTCTGCCGCAGCTCAAGAGCAGCGCAATCTGGTCTCTACCTTCACAGTTACCCATTTATACCCCTGGGTGGAGAGAGGCAATTGAAGTAAAGTGTCTTGCCCAAGAACACAAGCACCATGTTCCCCTGTCAGGGTTTGAACCCACGTACACGACACACTAGTCAAACACCATTACCACTGGACCACGGCACCATTCAGTTTAATTACTGTGCATATGTTTACATGTACATGTACGCCGGACTTAATTAGAAGTCATATTTTTCATTGTATAATTTCTGAAGCAATCTAAATTCTCTGAGACATTTTCTCTAATCACATTTCTTGACATATACCGGTATGTATGTATGCAATTCCTGGTTTTCTTTAAATCAGCACCAATGAAAGAGAAAAGTATACAGAATACTGTTGATACAAACACACTTGTACATGTGATCTGGTACACTGTGCCTCTCTGGAGACATGCACACAATAGGGAGCAAAAGATTGTATACGTCTCCACAGGGCAATTTCTATAGATGAATACGTCTCCACAAGGTTATCATGAAATAGATATATGGATTTTACTCAAAAACTTGGAATTTCCAAGGTATGTTGATCTGTCGCAAATGGAAGAGTTTTACAAAAGGGATATTAAGTCCAAATTTCAGCCAAGGAAATAAATTCTGGTTTAAATGAGAGCATTTTGAAACTACACTTTCAAACTTGAAAACTTTACTACACGAGAACAAAGAAATGTCTCCACAAGGATGCAAATTTAAGTATGTGTGCATGTACATGTATGTAAACGTTGGAAAATCTACGGGGTGTTAATTACATGAACATGTATTCAATATCTGTGTAAATATGTGTACAAATTATACATTCCATATACACTCTGTATTTAGATGTACAAATTATAAACATGTACATGTACATATATTAATGACCCAAATTCTATCAACCATAATTTGTGGCACAGCAAATATACTAAAAATTAAAAAAAGGTAAAACCAACCCAAATATTCTCACAAGAGTCGTTAAACCTGTTCCCTGTAGTGTTCGACAATGCAACAGGGTGCAGAAAATAAAACTGCAGGTATCAATCCTCCAACAACATTACACTCTCTGGTGAACTCTCAGAGAGACATTTTTGGCAGGTCAGGTCGCCAGACTACCTTTTTGGAGGTCATGTCGCCAGACTTCTCAACAGGTGGGCAATTATCCACCCGCTTGGCTTCACCCGCCCTCTAATAATAGTCAATAAAAGGTCACCGAATCCAAAATATAGGTTTCTGAATGCCAAACTTATATACTTTGGATTTGAAATTAAATTGGGTCATTTATATATACATCTTACACCTGTTTTGGGGATTTTGTAATGTGGGACGTGGTGTGACACTGAGTTATGGGGTGCAGGATTGGGGCAGCCCTACACTACAGTTCTTTGGACATTGCAGTAACTCGTTGAATTTGGAAGAGAAATATCAGTGGCCAAAAAAAAGGGATGTGTGTGTATTTCTTCTTTGAGTTGTGTGTGGTTCTGCGAAGAATCAGTTAAACTGATTTTGTTTTATTTTGTTACCAGGACTACAGATTTTTCAGGCCCTGAGATTGGGCGGGGAGTGAAAACAAAAATCTAAATGTGTGGGGGCGCCCTTTAGTACGCACATAAATGGTGCACCCGGCATTTGGACACGGCTGTTCGGGCACGAAAGTGTTCAAACAGAATGTTGTTATTCAATTTGACTGCACGAAGCATATCACAATTTGCCCAGGTAAAATTATCAAAAAATACATTGATCAAAGCATAAAATATATTGGGGTGGAAAAAACAAGAAGGTAAATTTTGCACGAAAAACATGGTTACGTGTAAGTGTGTAAGTTGCTCAAATCACAACGTCAAAGCATAATTTAGATGTCATGTCTAGGTTTTATTTATAAATGTCTATAGATGACGCGACAATGGGTATGTGACCGAAGACCGATATAAAAAGTGCCTACTGAATGGTAGGAATATCAAGGTCAAGACGCAGTCTTGTTCTGCATAATTATCGCTTGATCTGCTCGCATAACATAGACCCTTGCGCATGCATAGACTACGAAATTGGGACCAAGGTGCCAAGTTCATGAGCTGCTATGCACAGAAATGTGCTGAGCAAAATAAGGTTACCAGCCAAAACCCCATGTGTTGTCTACTGTTTGTGACTGGTTCTCGGCAGAATTCTGCTTAGCATAGAGATTTTGCTGCTTAGTAGCTCCGTGAAATTTGGGCCCTAGTCGCACAGATACCTACCACCATGTGGCTCCCATGCTGGGAAGCAAGATGCAGCGGCGTTTCGCCATCTTGAGAACCATCGTTGGGAGCGGAGCCAAACTTGACTAGGAGGTAGACCGGTTGCACCTTGCCCTGCCAGGCTGCATAGTGTAGAGGCCGCATCCCTGACACAAGACAAGAGAAGAAGATGGATACGTCAATAAGACATAGGGCTTCATTAGAGTGGAGTACCATGGCCTGATGGTGTGGAGCATTGAATTTGGGGTCTGCGGATTATTCTGCAGGTTGTGGGTTCGAATCCAGCCTGGGGTTATGGTGCATGTGCTCTTGGGCAAGACACTTTGTCTCTCATTGCCTCTCTCCGACCAGGAGTAGATGGGTACCTGTGAGGGCAGAGATGGTTGTTGTGATTGATTTTAGCTGCTTTGCACCAAAATGGCAGCATTTTGCTGTATATTCCCCATGGAGCTGAGTTGGTCTTTGAGATGTTTTATGTCCCCCAATGAGCAGGGGTAAAATTATATTAAGGGAGTTTTAGAGTTTATCTGTGCTCTACTGTATACAAAAACCCATTAATATTATTACCCACTCAAAACTCAAAACACTTGGAGCATAACTATGAGTGCAGCCTGCACTTCATATGAACGTGGGCTGTTTCTTGTTCATCCCATTGGGAACAGTTAAAAGAACTTATAAAGCGTTGTCACATTGAAACATTCGCTACGGCACTGACATTTCAGTTCGGTTCATTTCAGCTCAGGGCAGATTGGAACATTTACTTGTTCCCACAGGCAATAAGCCACATTCCAAATGTCATGACTGAATGATTATCAAACAGAATTGGAACATTTGAACACTTTAAAGTTAAAGATAAAGAAATAAATGAACAAAGTCTAATAATGGCTTTTTAATTTTTTTTTTTTTTCAGCTAGTAAAACCTCCTAATGGCAATCATTTCTCCGACTCATGAGGCTTCCTTACTTTTGGCACACAAACAGTAATTGACAATATTGTACATTAAACCTAACCCCCAAGTAGTTTCTCAGGACTACCCTGCTAAATCCGACAGAGTCCAACCGGAGTTTCCTGCTCAATCCACTGTGCCTACTTTCAGTTGTCTGCTGAATCCAACGGAGTCCAACAATGCGTTATAATGCAGTTCAGTTGCCTGCTGAATCTAACATTTTGCATCAGGAATGTACACAAGGGGTTTGCTGCTCAATCCAACAGGCTCAATCGGGTATATGATTTAGTTGGATCCTGTTGGATTCAGCAGGGTTAGGGTTTAAAGTGATGGTCATACATGTACCGTACTGTATACTTTTGACTTTAGAAAAAAATTGTACCACAATTGTCAGCAGTACCGGTACCAATAACATTCTTCAGAGCTGTTACTCTGAATGCAACTACGTGAATGTACTCTGAGGTTGATGTTTGAACACTTACAAGAGAATTAAGTTTGTCCTGTCAAAATGTCATAAAAACTTAGAAAATTTATGAATACAGAGGAAGCTTGGAGACCATCACGTTGTATACAAAACACTCCAATTCATACAGCAAGTCGCCGAATGCAATTTATAAATGGAAACTCTCCTTCCTGAAAACCAAGTTTGTCAAATTTGAAGTGGGAAGACACAAACACTTAAGAAATGGGGTCATTTATTTACTCCACAGAAACTTGCACTATCCTGCAAGGACCACAGAGCAGTTTAACAAGCATCACGCAGTTGGTGCCTAATAAATCAGATATTAATATGTGCATAAATCAAGTCGACGCCACCTGCGCTGCTAACTTCCTGTCAAAGCAAACATGTTGCTGGGCCTACAGCGAAGAAGAGAGTCCAGGGCCGTTCGACTGTAAATCACTTGCAGTGCTGCACAATTTTTTTTTTTTTTTTCGATGGAAGTGAAAAAATGTTTGAAGGGATACTAAAAATTGTTTCAATCTTTTTGAATTACACATCCGGAAAAAGGCGGAAAACATATTTCAGGTAATGTGATGAATGACCTAGAAATGTTCAATTTGTGAATTTGAATTCATCTTTGTCATACAGGACAGGACCAATGAATTTGACTTCAATGCCACAATGTCATTTTTAAAAATGGCTCCCCAATGTTCTCATGAATAAAAAAGAAATGATATACTTTCCACACGAGATAAATTACAAGAAATTGAACTTTGCGATTTTAGCTTGGAGTTTGGTCTTCAGAGGTTAGATTTAAAGCAAGAAATGGATTTATGATTTATCTAGGGCCATTACTACAGGACGAGTAAAAACAAAGAAAGGACTAATTTTTGAATGCACTTTTGCCGTAGAACTTTCATAATCTAGGATGAGAAAGCCCAATCAATGAGCTTTCTTTAGGTACAGGAATCATTCAAATCACTCATGTACTTTTCAAGTTACAGATTTTATTACACAAACACCGTTTTGAAGTTCTGTCCACGGATCACCAAAAAAATGGCAAGTGTTCTTTCAGCAAAACGAAAACAATTCACATGCATCCCTATAACAACTGTTTTCGTTTTGTTGAAAGAACACTTACTTTTCTGTGATCCGTGGACAGAACTTTAAAACAGTATTTGTGTTCAAAATTCTGTAACTTGAAAAGTACGTGAGTGATATGAATGATTCTTGTACTAAAAGAAAGCTTAATGACTGGGCTTTCATATTCTAGATTTTGAAAGTGTTACAGGCAAAACTTCATTCAAAAGTGGGCCCTGCTATGTGGCTTTTTGGGGGTTTTTTGGGTTTTTTTCTCACCTTGTTCAAGCAATCAAGAAGTTGCACATTTTGTATACAGTTGAAGTTGAAGGTCTCATAAAGAAAGTGGGTCATTTATATAAATTTGGGGTCCACTTTTTTTCCAGCCCCTGTTACATCTGACGTCTGTGATTTTATAATTCTGATGCATTCCTTAATGCAGTTGTCCTCCAAGAGTGGTTTAACTATAAATTAAAAACTACACGTAGTACCCAACAAATACAAAAAAATGTTTGAAGTCAAAGTACCAAGGTAACAGGGACATGAAAATGTCACACTTGGTCCCTAAATTTATTGAATGATGTTCACTACACACAGTATACATTGTATGTATTTTGGTAGTCTGCAGAAGTCAAGGATGTACATGTACAGGCAAAAACATCACTTAATTTAACTATGGCTGCAGTTTATCATTTTATACCAAGAACCTTGAAAACGTTCTTTACATGGTCATACAGGTACTGTACATGTGCAACATGTGGTGTGTGAATGTCATTAAATTTTATTCCAAATCCAAGTCCGCCAAGCATGACCGATGACCTTAGAAAGTACAAGAACCTAACCAAATTAAAACCTTCAAATAAACCACAAAATGTAAACTGACAAGGTACATTATAACTAAGTTGAGCAAAACAAATTGACTGGGGCGGGGTTTGAACCTGCGACCTCAGGATTGCCGTTCCGGTGCTCTACCAACTGAGCTATCCAGCCCTATGTAGGTGGTTCCCCATTTTGTCAATGTCTTTGTTCAAGGGGCGCTAGTCAGAAGCCAGAAACCTGAATATGCCATGCAGCCAGGGACCACGACCGAGGTCACGATGATAGTAACATCAGCAATGCTGCAAACCTGGGAAAAACGTAGCAACTTGTTACCAGCATTACAAATTTTCAAGTAAACCACGAAGGGAAACTGTTACAAGTACTGACTTTGTGTGAAATAAAAATCTACAATTTGACAGTCACTTCAAATAAGCAATCAAAATAAATCACAACATCTACATGTAAAAAGGCCTTTTACACTATCAATTTTTTTTTTTTTTTGGAACCATATTGAACTACTAGATTTTTAGGACCCAATTTCACGCTAGCAAGAAATCTTACACAGTTTTTGTTGTGACTACATCATGTGCAAATGTACACAGGAAAAGTTGCACCATCCTACCTTGCTTGGGACCAGGGTTGAGAATAAGCCCCATGAACGTGCCTAAAATACTGGACTTCCTCCATACATGTACAGGTTGGCCCCAAAAAACGGAAGGGCATATTTCCACTACCTTGAGACTCAGTGGACGGAGAATCTTTTTAGAGGAAATTGATAGCCAGATCTCCCGATTCGGTCCAGTAGATTTTGCTGCAGAGCCTATACTCTGTGAAGCACACACATCTTTCATGTGGGTGTTATTACATACATGTACAACAATTAATCCCACTATCCATTCATCCCTCTATCCATTCAAGTCAAATTCGTGGGCGCGGTTTAGTAATTCATCGGGACAAAATGACTCACGCCTTTGTTTCACAAAATAGGCTGTAGAGAAAAAAACTACTAGACCGAATCGGGCGATATTGGTATCATTTCTCTTTTAAAGGGAATGTACATCATTGGCTTTTGCTGTAATTTTCAGAAATGAACTATTTGAGGGGTTAGTATAATAGATCAAATATTGTTGCACTGACATGTTTGAAGTTTTGTGTTCGAAAATGCTGGAAAAACCAAGAAAAACAAAAATGTTCAAGTAGTCTGGTTGCTTGACTCCACTAAAGATAAAATGGAACAATTTATAGATGCCGGAAAATTGTAAGGTAAGGGAACCAGTCTAGCTGGCCTGCACCCGTTCATGAACATGTAACCAATAGCAAACAAAATTTGGACCGAAAAAAAGTGTTAAGTTGGAGCAGTAGTTGAAAAATACATGTAGTTAGGTTTTTCCAACGGTGGTCGGCCGACCACCGTTGGAAATGTATACAAAAATACCATTTTCTTGAAAATGACTTCACACCAGGTGCCATTATTTTACAGGATGCTTTAGACTGTCATTTTATACCAACATCCTAGTAAGGTATTTCGTAATAACTTGGTCGTTTTATTTTTCGATGTTTGCAAATGTTGTTTATTCCCTTTAACGGAAATCCTGATGCATTGGTGTAGGGTGTTTGAGTCTCAGGGTAGTGGAAGTATGCCATTCAATTTTTTTTATATTTTTTTTTTTTGGCCACCGCTTGACAACTGCTTGAAATAATTCTTTAACTAGAAAGTAAAAGTGTAAGAAATTGAAAACCTCTCTTCTTAAGAAATAAAGACAATAAAAATTGCGATACCACATATTTTGTTCTTGGACTACCACATCTTGTCCACCCATGTATGTCAATGACACGAGGTTGCTGACAAAATCCTGAATATCGCTTTTTTCATCCCAGTCCATGTAATTTAAAATCCATCGGGAAGTCTTTGACACCTTGTGCCACAACTTGTTTCCTCAAAATACATGACAATGTCCAGAGAATCAAAGCTGACTGCCTGAGTTGTGCCAAAAACTCACCAGTTTTAACTCTGCAATTCTTCAGGAACTGAATGAATACAAACCCTCCTTCCGTCCCCAGAGCACATTAAAAAAAATCTCCCTTGATCTTGAGTTTAGCCCCTTGGAATGCCAGTAGGGGGATTGCGGTTTTCTGCTCCGTTTATTTGAAGAGGTAATTCTAGGAGACATTATATCCGTGAGCAAATAGAATCTGTAATTCCTGGGTTTTGGGCACTTCCTAAACCAGTTTGATTCTTTTGCTTGTTAGAGGGGGTGACCAGAACTGACAGGGCGCAGATTGCCCTTGGGGAAAGGGGGGGGGGGTGGGTGTGATCTGCTAAAAATCAGTTCCATCTAGTAGAATATGTAATTCCTGGGTTTTTGGGCACTTCCTAAACCTGTTTGATTCTTTTGCTTGTTAGAGGGGCGACCAGAACTGACAGGGCGCAGATTGCCCGTGGGGAAAGGGGGGGGGGGTGGGTGTGATCTGCTGAAAATCAGTTCCATCTAGTAGAATATGTAATCCCTGGGTTTTTGGGCACTTCCTAAACCAGTTTGATTCTTTTGCTTGTTAGAGGGGGTGACCAGAACTGACAGGGCCCAGATTGCCCTTGGGGAAAGAGGGGGGGGGGGAGGTGTGTTCTGCTGAAAATCAGTTCCATCTAGTAGAATATGTAATTCCTGGGTTTTGGGGCACTTCCTCACCAGTTTGATTTTAGTTTGTTTAAGAGGCTGACCAGAACTGACAGGGTGTTTTGCGGGGTCAGGAAAAGATTGCCCTTCAGATGCGGGGAGCCCCGATCTGCCGAAATCGGTTCAGTCTAGACACACTGATCACACAATTTGCAGGAAAGTCCCGGATCCGGTCATGGGCTATTGAGCATTCAATGAGCATCCAACCAGCGAAGCAAAGAATGATCAACAACTTTTGTATATAAATAATTCAGGGTGTATATTGTTACATATAATGTATGATTTTCTCATCAAAAAAAACATAAATTACAAGTCTGTGATGAGTAAGCAAGGGAAGTTTCTTAAAAGGAGTTTTGAATTCTGGAGCCAAGTTTAACCACAAGAGATCTTTCACCCCAAACCTCTTGGGAAATATGCATAGGTAGTGGCTCTAAGATGAGCGCTGTAGACTCCAACTGTATCACTTACTCATATGACAGCATTTTCAATATTCTAGTAAGTACATGTACTGCCAAATTTATCGAAATATATTTGAAATGGGGTCCGCTCATAAGTCTGACGTCTCAAAGGTCCGCACTTCATAAGTCCGACGCCTCATAGGTCCGACGCCTCATAAGTCCGACGCCTCATAAGTCCGACAACGGAAAAACAAGGCGTTTAATTTGTCAGACTTATGAGGCGTCAGACCTATGAGGCGGAATAAATAAATTTTATGCCTCACAAGTCCGACGCCTCATAAGTCCAAAATTTCGGACTTATGAGGCGTCGGACCTATGAGGCGTCGGACTTACCGGTATGATACGGCCCCTTTGAAATAAATGAACTATGTATATCTGAGGCTACTAGTTTTTAATTTGTAAACTTCAGTGAAAGTGCTGATTTACAAACCCCCATCACACCAAAAAATAATACTTTAATAATTTTGAATAACTGAATTACATGTCCACGTATAAAAATCAACTCAAACCTATGTACTAATTCAGTTTCCCTTGAGTTAGGACATTCTCATTACTGAGCCCTTGGAACCTACAGACAAACACATGGCTGCCAAATGCCACGCGTCCACTGACCCAAAAAGTTCTTGAAACCCAAAGAAACAAATAACAGGTGGGCACATTATTCCTGGACAAAAGGATGGAGGTCACTACAGTGGGAATCCCTGCTTTGTAAACAAGAGTATTTAGAAGGCTAACAGTCCACTCTTCAATTTTAAGAAGTTTTCATTTTTTTAACCCCCCCCCCCTCAACCAATTTATATGCTGTTTTGACATCTTGGGCACCTGTTTACAATACACTGGCCAGTCATCACACTGAGGCAAGGGACGCCACTCCCTTTCAGCCTTCCAGTTTGACACAAGACCACTGAGCACCACATACATGTAAGCATCACAATGGCACACTGAACATGCAACAAGTATAGAGCAATACACAGATATAGAAAGAGGAAGTACAGTAAACTGGAAGACTGCCATTACACAGATATTGAATGCTTTGAGTGGTGTAGTAAAACTAGCCTCCCGAGGTGATCCATGGACATTCTATTTATCCCGAGGCGAAGCTGGGGGAATAAAGAATGGTCCATGGATCACCGAGGGAGGCTAGTTTTACTTCACCACGAGATACATGTTGTGTTTAAGCATTCAATATTTGTTTTACACGTATACCACTTCACCCACAGATTCTGCTTGGTTTTGATATTTTAAATCATTTAAATCTGAACACAATTAAAATAAAATTCAATTTCAATACAAAATTATGGGAAATGTATTTCTCTCTTCCAAACCACCCCTTCACGAAATGTTTGAACCGAAATCTGTGGCGCGCTCTCTTGGGAACAATACGCGCTACGCGCAACGCTCAATGTGCACACCAGTAAATACCGCGCCATGGTATAGTACTTTGGTTGCTAATGATATAGTACTTTGGTTGCTACGGGTATAGTACTTGTGGCTGTGCACTGAAACATAGCAAAAATAGACAGTACCATGTTACTCGCTCTCGGCCAATCAAGACACAGAAACTGTGGGTGAGGTGTTATACAGTAAAGCCAAATATTACACACCATCACGTATGGGTTGTGCAGGATTCCATGATATTTATTCTTGGAATATCAACTTTCCCCGACTCCTCGTAATATAACAAAACTCCCTGACTTTTCCATGACTTTCCATGATGAGCTTTAAATTCCAGGATTTTTAAGATTTTTTTTCTTGACTGTGGGAACCCCGACTAATGGCCATATCCAAAATGCGCACCCAGACAGCGTTTGTACATGTATGGCTTCAGATCTTCCGGCATTCACGCTGCAATGACAACATGTATTTGTAGCCCAAAGGACCCACAGCCTACAAAATGTTTTCATTCCTGCGCATAATTGCTCACTGGATCGTGCACTTCATGTTACCACGGGCCATTGGCCACCAACTACGTGTCAAACATGTTTCCCCAAAGGTTGTCTGCATTCACAAAAGAGTTCTTTCACCTTTGTTGTCCTTGATGTCCACTGAGATTTGGTTGCAATCCAGTAAGGCGGCCATGATGTTGCAGTTGCTATTGAGAGCGGCATGGTGAAGAGCAGAGAATCTACAGGGAGAAGAGAAAAAAGACGAGAAATCTAACGTTAAGTTATTTTCAAATAAACCTCAAAGGAAAACTGACTAGGTGTAGAGTAACTTTTTTTTTTTTTAAATTGAGCAAAGGAATTCACTGGAGCGGGGTTTGAACCTGCGACCTCCGGATTGCCGTTCCAGTGCTCTACCAACTGAGCTATCCAGCCCTATGTGGGCAGTTCCCCACTTTGTCAATGTCTGACTGGAGTAGGGTTTGAACCTGCGACATCTGGATTGCCATTCCAGTGCTCTACCAACTGAGCTGTCCAGCCCTATGTTGGCAGTTCCCATTTTGTCAATGTCTGACTGGAGTTGGATCTGCAACCTTCGAATTGCCGTTGTGGTGCACTACCTAACTGAGCTATCCAGTCATATGTCCGTAGTTCCCCACTTTGTCAATGTCTGACTGGAGTAGGGTTTGAACCTGCGACGTCCGGATTGCCGTTCTGGTGCTCTACCAACTCAGCTATCCAGCCCTATGTTGGCGGTTCCCCAATTTTGTCAATGACTTTGTTCAAGGGGCGCTAGTCAGAAGCATAAATGGAGACCTGCCAACATAGGGCTGGATAGCTCATTTGGTAGAGCCTTGGAACTGCAATTCGGAGGTCACAGGTTCAAACCCACTCCAGTCAATATGTTCTACTTAATAAGAAAACTTTGAATTATTTTGAAGTTCACATTTATCATAAGCCATCTTTTCCCGTCATTTGGCTGAAGAAAAAAAAAATCACACAAGCTGCCTGAAAACAAAAACCGAAAGCTTACTTTCATTATGGAGCTATTCAATTTAATAGCTTCGTGCTTTCATTTTCGGGATCCAAATAACTCAAGTAAATTATAGACACAGAAAGAAAAATACCACACCAACTACGATATGAAAGCCATTATGGGGAAACGGTCCATCATTACAGTTTCATTAAAAGAGAAAACTCATTTACATTTAGCCAGCCCCCATCAATCTGACTTCAAATCTGAATTAATGGGTTTTAATAATGCATCTTAATGACAGTGTGCAGCGCTGCAATTTCCTGCATTCACTGGGCACACATATTTCTTCCCACTTTCTCCCGACCAAAGGTCAATTTCATGGGGCCGCTGAGCACACATGTCTTATAAGGCAGGCTAATTACGTCGTAAGCAAATTTTACAATACTTGTGGAGAATCCTCTGCTGATTTTTTTTTTTCCATCTTGTGCTTTTCAGCAAAAATCGATTAAGAACCAGAAACATCCAGTATCACGCCGGTTGGTGATGTGTTTCCGCTCACAGAATCAAACTTCTGTGTGCATACCGTATGTACTGAAATTTGTATCCTTGTGGAGACATTCCTTTGTTCTCGTGTACTAAAGTTTTCGAGTTTGAAAATTTAGTTTTAAAATACTCTTATTTTAACCAGAATTAATTTCCTTGGCTGAAATTTGGACTTCATATCCCTTTTCTAAAACTCTTCCATTTGCGACTGATCAACATAGCTTGGAAATTCCTACTTTTTGAGTAAAATCCATATATACAATGTATATATATCTCGTGAAAACCTTGTGGAGACGTACCAGTATTCATCTATAGAAATGTCCGTGTGGAGACGAATACAATGTTTTGTTCACCATTGTACACACGTCTCCAGAGGGTACGGTGTATCAGATCATATAAATGTGCAGTCAACAGCTGTACATTGGCCTAGTGAAAACATTTCCATGGGGGGATGTTACCAAAATGGGGTAAGATTGGAAGAAAATGAAAAATCCATGAAATAATCAGCAGAGAGTTTGAGGGTCACCGAGAGCCCTGGAGCAACATAGGGTCCATGGTATTTGTTTTTACAAATCTGCCTGAAGGCACCCCTGAAGGTCAAAAACACCTTTATGTCAAAACCTGAGATTTCAGAAGGGATTCTTTCAAAATTCTGAAATCAGGACAAATCCTGACAAAAAAGCCCTGAAATCAGGAAAAATCCTGATCAAAGAAAATGTTCAAATCAGGGAAAATCCTGACAAATCTCAACCCTGCAAAAATAATTTCCCAGAAATTTTAATTTGCCGGACAGCCATGAAACGGAGACGAAGCCGGGTATTGAAAATCGGGTTTTAGGACTGATGGTTGAAGCCACATCCGCATAGAGCCTGTCACGCACAAACAGGGCATGTGCAGAGAGTGCATTTAGTGCACTGATCAGATGCTCTGCTACGCTACTCCCCTCCCCCCCCCCATTTTTTCTTTTTTTGGTCATGTTTTTTTTTAAACACCCCCCCCCCCCCCTCCAGTCGCTGCACCACTGCATCTCTTTAATATTGGCCCAAGAGCTTAGCATATTCCCTTACTTTCACTAATGATAAATTCTTGGTACATAATAACGACACTCAGAAAAAAACTCTCTCTGAATGAAATTGAACCAAACATGGATGCTTTTTTCTTGGGTCATGAGGATAGTGAAAACCATTTATTAAAGAAAATGACATTGATTCAGCCTTCCCTGGATAATTGGAAAAAATGTCTATCCCCAAAACAAGGTCTGCATGTGATATCTAAACAGCTTTCAAGTGTCTCAGCATTGGTAGGAATTCAGTGTTTATATATTGTAGCCCTTCATTTCTTTCAACATCTTTCCGTGTGTGTTGGGCCCGCTGTTAAACGGTCGGTTTGTACCGGTATCACTGGCCAGAAAATACAGGGCCAACTTGAACGGTTGTGGAAATATTATTTTCCTTCAAGTCTTCACTCAAAAAGTTTTTTTTTTTTAACTTTCCAAACTCAGTTTCCACTTTTTTTTTACAGTGATTTCATTTCTATTTCCGATCATATGTCACTTATTTTTTGGGGGGGGGGGGGGGGAGGGGAAGTGCGTTACGTTTTTAAACAAGACTTTAAATTCCAGAGAGCAACAGTAACATGTGTACAAACATTTTCTTTGACTTAAAATGCTATGTACCGGGTAATAAGATTATTCGTGGAATGTATACGGGAATATTTCATGAATGACATCTTTGGACATTGAGCCTAACGTGCTACACGTGTGTACTATATAATGGACGTTTCTTGCCAACTGGTAAACTGTACATTGAACAGTATTCATTTAAAGATGCATTCCCTGTGCGATGTTTAAGTTTCACCTCGAAAAGTTGATCTGTATTTTTCAATTGATATTTTCAGATATTAATATTAAAGTTCTAGTCCTATTCACTTTTCAATGAGACGTTGAAGGTAAAAATCCACCGATGTTTAGTTACTGAATTGCGAGACAATAGTTCAGCTTTTGCAGGGCGGGTTCATTTGTCCACAATATGAAAGTCATTTTTCAGAGGGTTGCCGACAGTATCCAAAATCATATTTTTGTTGTTAATTTTTGTTGTTAAATCATATTTTTGTTGTGGCCTAGTGGTTAGGGTTCGTGACTCATGATCAGAGGGTCCGGGGTTCGAATCCAGCCGCTGGTCATATATTGTGTCCTTGGGCAAGGCACTTTACCCCCACTTGCCCCTCTCCACCCAGGAGTATAAATGGGTACCGGCATTAGCTGGGGAGTAACCTGCGATGGACTGGCATCCCATCCAGGGGGAGTAGAAATATTCTCAGTCGTTTCATGCTACTGAAACCGGAGATAAACGCCGGCCTGATGAGCCACGTTGGCTCGGGACAGACTTTACTTTTTCGTTAAAACAAAACATGCATACTGTACAAATTGAACATTGTGAGGAAAAAAGTTTTTTTTTTTAAAAGCATGCAGGTATACATACATCTTTCAAGCAAAGATCAACATACTGTAGATGCAACTTATGAGCATACACTTATGAACTTGTGTACATATTGTAACCAACAACAGAGCAGTTTCCAGTTTACCCAACCCCAAATCAATATCATGATATGTACACGGAACAATCCTTGGCTTCGTGTACATACATGTATGTTTGTGTACACAGTACAATTGAATAAAAATATTAACGCAAACCCTGCCCGTTGAACAGCGTAAATTGAATGAGCAGCAATGACATATGAATGTCAATCAGGCTATAGTATCATTGAATAGCTTCGTTCTCTCTGGAGACGAGTGTTGTTACAAATCAAGGGCATGGCATGCCCAGCATGAGGTACCTATTCAACTGCAGTCATGGGCATGAATTTGCGATTGTCATGCTACTGATATGTGACGGGTGACATATCTCTGGGGCGTTTTTGTATGCTAGGCCTACGTCAGCAAGGTCTAGTATGCTAGACTTTGAGGATGCATTTGCTATGGGAATGCATGTACAGAGACTGACATCCACAAACAGTGTTACCCCTGACCACCGCGCATACAAATCACCCTTTAAGAGTTCTTGAATGTATTAGTTTATGTTTCTTAACACAAATCTAATATCTAATATATGAGGCGTTCTGGCAAAATGAGACGCAACTGGGCACTGGCCGTAGTGGAGAAAAATGCACAAAAACTGAATGTGGCCGTGATTTTTTCATCTTCGATTTTCAGATTTATTAATTGTAATCTTTGATATGTATACAACACATGTTACATGTACAATGTAAGTATGAATATCGTGGAATTAAAGTGTTTTGAAGGCAATTGGAATCTTTCACTTTCACGCCTAAATACAGTCAAAACTTTAAAGGCACTTTTCTTCTTTGACATGTTGATAAAACAAATGTGAACTTTAAACAGCCATAACTTGTCAATGGGATGTCGAATTGAAGTGCAGCAAATATGGTTAGGAGAATTTCCTTTTCCTAATTCTGGCAAACCCTCATTCCGACCTCTGCCCAGTTCTGTCTCATTTTGCCAGAACGCCCTCACCCACATTGTAATTTGTACAGGTGTGTTTCATTCATTGCTATAATTACAGCTTGTGTAATGTACAAACTACAAACTACTGTACAAACTACATTTGTACTTTCAACAGAACAGCAATTGTTGCATAATGTTCCAGTGAAAAGGAACTTTCTGGGTGACAGACGTCATCAAACACAACACACCCACACTCCACC